GTTTAAAATAAATTTCACTTTTATCATATCAAAAGAAATATCTTTTTTCATGTTTTACTTTTAATTATTCATTCTTCAAATCATTTCTAAAAGTCCAAGACTAAACATCAATCCATATGAGTATTATGATAGAACATTCAACCACTATTCTTTACTAAGCATGTAAAGTTTAAACTGAACAAATAAAAATGTCTCGAAAAAGTAATTATTAACCTGATTAAGCAATCTAATTATAAATGAAAGTGGTAGTAATAGAAGTATTGCCCCACTTAAGTTGTGTTTAGTTTAGGAATTTGTGATGGTTAGTTGTGACATTTGACTAGTAGTTATTTAATACAATTAATTATAATTTTCTCTTGCTCCTCTCTTCTTGATGCTTGTTTCAAGACTACCATTCAGCAGAATTTGTTTTGGTTGGTAGAATATGTTGGAGAGTTAAATTTATCCCTACTCGATTTTTGTAATAATAATTTAATAAACATATGACATATTTTTACATATTTTATCTTAATTTTTTATTTATGCATGATAAATTAGCATGATATAAAATGATGGGAGCATTATTATCTTTAATATAGTCATGTCAATTGCTAACTATAAAATTTGGCATGCAAGTCTTGTGAATCTTTTAAAGAGTAAAGGAATGCAACAACATCTATACCCCTAAATTAAATCCTTTATAGGTGTTGAAGTCCCTCCAATTTTATTTATGCTTTCAAAAGGACTTCTGTTCCAATAATTGCTATTCAACCTCTTTGATTGTTGTTTCGTTATTGAACCTGGCTCCATCATTGAACCTGACTCCATAATTGCTATTTGCATCTACCGTGTATATCTCCTTCATCAATGATTACTCACTCCGCAGTCCGCTCCTGATCTGTCTGATCCCATTCAGAATTGAAAACTTAAGCAAAAGTAGTAGTGTTGAGGCTGGTACAATCTTTATGTCATGTATCCATGTTCTTTCTTAAAGCTATGTATTATATCTCATATTCTCTCATTTATATGCGAGGTTTAAAGGATACATAGATGAAACTGAACGAGATGAAGAAATATGTAAATAAACAAAGCTATAAATAATAACTGAAATAAGACAAATTGAATGTATTAAATAATATCAAGCAAATATAGCATGTGTTGTGGAAATATCCTCGAAGAAGCTCGAAAGTTACTGATGACAAGTAATGAAATTGCTAGAGAGAAAATTATAATTTTTGGTAAAAGAATTCAATTGTGTATAATGTGATGAATTTGTTGATTTTATAGGATGAATTTTTGGGATCTGTTTGCCAAGAATTAACCTCTCTTGATTCAAGAGTGGACCGACATCTCTTCTGGACAGTTTCATAACGGCTAGTGTTGACTACTGGGTTATCTGCGAGCATTTCAATCCTTAGCCCGACGTTAATTTCACAAAGTGAATGTACCCTCAGACTTCGGGTATCATCGTTGTTTTTATTACCTTCCACACGTCATTGTATGACTTGGTCACATGTCTTATCTATTTTTACTGTATACAAACTTGAAATCGAATTTCAGATTCAGAAAACAATTTACAACATAATTTCTAACTCACTTTTGAAATTTTATTCAAGTACATTCAATCATAAATATCATTTCACATATTCTTTGTAAAATATAGAGAAAATGGTCTAAAACCCCCCAATCTATACGTGAAATTTCAACTACACACTCCAACTTCACGGATGTCCTATTACCCCCTGAACTTCATATTTCTCTATTTTCTACACACTTAAATGCTGACCTCAACACATAAACCAAATACATAGTCCAACGTGATTGCACGCGTCGGGTCCCCCGCCTCTTCAACTCCCAATTCCTATTTTTCCCCCATTTACCTCCTAAAACGTAGAAGACCCATAAATCATCCTTTCAAGTTTTCATTTGCCATTTTTGATGAATTTCGAGAAAATTCAAAATTCAAATTAGAGACCTAAATAAGAAATTAAAACAGATTATAACTATAAATTCAAGATTTGAAGTAGAAATGAACATAAACAACTAAACCCTACCTATTTTTGAGAGAAAATCGTGAATTTTTTATACTAGGAAGTCGTGATCCTGTCTTGTTTCTAGGACGAGGTACGACCCTTGGGTGGTCATGATTATATTGGGAACTAATGACTTCATGATGAGTCAAAAGAAATGGGCAACAATAAGCCATGGATGAAGAAAGTTTTAACAAGTATACTCGTGTAAAGGCAATTAAGGATTTTAGCGGGAAGGTACGATTAAAAAGGAATCGGGTTGGTTTTGTCAAGATGTGGGTTGGCAAGGTAAGAGATGATTGGTTGTATCAACTTTTTAGCCATTGGAAGGACTTTTTGCATGGTTTGAGTTGTAGCAGTTAAATACTTGTGATTGTAGAAGATTTCGATGAAGTTTCATTTGAGAAGTTTGACTTAAGGTAAAGGGTAATATGCGGTGGATGTTTGGCCAAGAAACTATAATGATAAATGATTTACGGGAAGAACAAGAGTCTTGCGCGATTGATATAAGTTAAGAGATGTGAAGGAATAAGACATCACGTGTGGATCCTTAGTTTGAAGTTGAGGATTGTGTAAATTTCTGCTTTTATGTTAGATATGACAATGCAAGGTGGACTGGTTCAGCACAAATGTATGATGTGTTATCAGCTACTTTTTGAACACTTGGTAAACGTGGATGTATAAGGAATTCTGCAGTTTTTGAATTGGTTTGAATTGTTCAGCTTATGGTAGGTGGCTTACGAGTGTCCAACCGGAAGGACTTATAGCTCTACATGGTTATTGAGGATTTTGAACTAGGTTGATAACTCTATTTATGGAATTATCCAGACTGTTGTAACGCGTTACATAGATCCTTGATGGTAAATAGAGGTTGTGTGCTCATAGTATACGGAATTATTGGAGTGACCAAGAACTGCTTCAAGTTTCGGCATGAGATATATGATGGTTTGAATAATAGTTGAAGCTGGGTAAGTAAAGGATCGCATGTAATCGATATTGGTCGTGATTCAATAGTTCTATCTCAATGAAAAGGTACTATGACATTTAGAACTTGGATTATTAGCGATTGGGTGAGACCCATATCGATCGTGAAATGCTTCAATGAAAGGAGGAAGGACCATAATTCAAAATTTTGGAAGCAACGATGTGTTTCTAAGAATGACTGGATACTAGTGACCGTCTGAGGGTAAAGTAACTGGCCGGTATGACTATGATGTTCTGGTAGTATTGATATTGTTGGCTTTAATGGATCATTGTAAAGAGTATGAGAAAATGGATAAATTGAGTATGTCTATGATTGTTATGAGGCTGGACTGGCTGATTGTGAAGTCAGACGAATGGGAAGGTGTGTTATGGACATCGTGGAAGGGATATCTTGGGTTGTTCAATTTCGGTTTTGTATATTCTTATGTGACCACCTACCTCATTTTAGACATGGTTTTGGATTATGATTCTCTGTCTATGTTCAGACGTGTTTTTACTTTTGTGGGTGGATGCCTAGTGGTGAATCGGATGGACCGATTCATGCTTTCTTGGCAGAATAGAATACTTGTATGGGTGGGCCGATTCAGAGATAGTGGGTTCGATGTGGTATTGGGGTGGTGGAAGGTTTTCGAAAGTTCTACAAGTGTCATCTTGCTTTTGGAAAGGTATAGAGAGGCTACCGTATGTGGCTACAGTTTTTGGCTATTTAGGTATTTATCTTGCCCTTGTATGCATGGTTCAGCTAGGTGTGGTTCGATGTTTAGGTGGCCCGTGGGCCTAGTTCTTCCGTTGCTGGAGTTGTCTACAATTACGGATCCTACTTCAGTGTTTTGGTGGCATCCTTAGAGGTTTTATATGCTTGGATGGGTCGATCATCAGTTGGATACTTGATCATTTCTATCTGTGGGTCAGATAAGCGTGATTATTCTAAGATGGGTGCTCAATGGATATGCATCAGATTAGTATGACTCAGACTTGTGGAAATGTGGTAATGAGAATGGAATTTTTTCTAGAGTCGGTGATGGTTCGTGTGTTGTGAGAGCTTGGTGACTGATTTAGGTTCATCCTTGATTTTTCTGTGGTTATTGATTCCGAAATTTCTCTCGTGGTTACATGATTAGGGGTTTGTCATGGTAAATATGTTGTGGTTTTGAAATCTTAGATTCAGATTCAGTCTTTGAGTTAGTCGGTGGTTTGAAATAACCCTTTGAGGGTTAAGTTGTCAAGATTGATTTGGGAATCCTTTTTTTTTATATTGATTTTTGGGATAAGGTTTAAGAATGGGTTCGTTTGGAGTAGTAATTATTGAGTTCGGAAATTTCACCTCGGGGTTGATAGCGTCGAGTATTTTTTTGCCTTCTTCTACTTTATGTTCGAGGACGAACATGATTTTTAGTGGTGAATAATGTAATGACCCTAAAGGTCATTTTTGGGAATTTTCGTAAAATGACCGTTTTACCCCTCCCGATAGTTGCCCCGAGTCCTAATTATTGTATTTTCGAAGTTGGTTTGAAGGAAAATTGATGAAAAGTTGAGTTCTTCTCACCTTCTAACGCGCCTAGAGGAGGTGTTCTCACCTCCTATGACAGGTCAGCGTTTAAGTGTGTAGAAAATAGAAAAATATGAAGTTTAGGGGTAATAGAACACCCGTGAAGTTGGAGTGTATAGTTAAAATTTCGGGTATAGATTGGGAGGATTTTAGACCATTTTCTCTAAAATATATAATCAAACATAATCATATATTAATCAATCTACCTTCATAAAAAAAAATTAAAAGTGGAATATATTATAAATTTATGACCAAAAGCTTACTAAATACTGTAATTTCAGTAAAAAAAAAAAAAAACTTTTAAAATCACTCTATTTGATTGGGTTGATTTGTAATAAACCGTTAGTTATTTGAGGTAAAAACATAACCAAATCAAACCGTCAACATAATCATTAAAGTTTTTTTTTTTGTTTTGAGATACTTGTTGCCTCATTGTTGGTAAAAAGCACAGTGCATCAATGGCGGTTTTGGGACTCTCCAACACAGGAGATATATTGTCTTCTTCTTCCAATTCCTTAGAATTTTACCATAGGATTCACTCTTCTTTTGTCCCTATACAGTGGTTCCCTCTGAGGACTCGCCGGAAATGCCTCAACAAACGACAGCGTTTCAGCATTTCCAGCTCCTTGTCCCCGAAGAACTCTGCTAAAATTAAGGTTATCGGCGTCGGTGGCGGCGGCAATAATGCTGTTAACCGTATGATCGGCAGCGGGTTACAGGTGGGGATTTTGTTTTTTAAATTTCCTAAATCTGATTGCATTTTTTGTACAATCACCATTTTCCTTCAATTGCTCCTTGAGATGGTAGCCAGATTTGAATTTTCTGTCTAGGCATGTTGCTCGGACTCTTCGAAAATATTTGTGTGGTAGGAAGCCAATAACTTTTGAGCGGTTATTATATTTGTTTTGAAAAATTCAATAAATATATAAGAACTACGACTTGAGAATCCATTTGTATAGTTTGTTGTTGGTCCAATAGCAGAAAAGGAACCTATTAAGCTTTGCTGCTCTCTTAGTCAACGGTTCGAATTTAATTTGAGATGTGTGGGAATCCACACACTTCTATTCAAATCCTGATTCCGTCTCTGCAGGTCCATGTCGGGTACTCTAAACATGGTGCATTTTGAAAAATTCAACAACAATTTTGGAGAGTCCGAGCAACATAATTGTGTAGTGAAAGATGCTTTAGTGTTGGTTTGAATTATGATGTCCATGTTTTTATACTTTGCATTCAGATTATACTATCATGTTGCACTCTCATTGTGTGAGTTATGCATACCTTGTGGGCTAGGAAGACAAGCTAGAAATCACTTTCACTGCTGTTTGATCGGCCCCATTTATAATTTTATCACTTAATATTTCTTTCAAATAAGTTCATCTGTTACCATAACAAACTCAACCAAGCACAAATGTACACCCCTATTCAATTGTTAACATCTTCATTTCACATGATAAATCTCAACATTTCTGTCCAATAATAGGGTGTCGACTTCTATGCTATAAACACGGATACTCAAGCATTGTCGCAGTCTACAGCTGAGAACCCAATTCAAATTGGAGAGCTTCTAACTCGTGGACTTGGTTTGCACCTTCTTGTCTTTCTGTAGAAAAATTTATTCTACAGAAGCTCTCTTTCAGAGCAGCTAAACATATACTTATCTATATAGATTATGATAACTTGATATATTGATTTAAGTCACGTCTAGAGATGTAGGTACTGGTGGAAATCCTCTGTTGGGTGAACAGGCAGCAGAGGAGTCGAAGGAAGGCATTGCAAATGCTCTTAAAGGTTCAGATATGGTGTTTATAACAGCAGGCATGGGCGGAGGTACAGGATCTGGTGCTGCTCCTGTTGTTGCTCAAATAGCTAAAGAAGCAGGTTATTTGACTGTTGGTGTAGTCACATATCCGTTCAGCTTTGAAGGACGCAAAAGATCTCTGCAGGCAAGTACCATTTTCATCATCTTTGAAGAAGCTTATTATTGTTGTTCCATGCCGGACATCTAAATCCACTGTTTGGATCCCCAGTAGGAAAGGCGTAGACGTGGGGTTTACCATATGTGTGTGTATTCGAGGGTGGTGATGCGGGTGGGATACAACAACCTTTAATGGTAGTTAAGTGGCCTATGGTGAATCTAAAGGATTTTGAGTGCACTCTAAGGTAACATTGTAAGCAGTCTAAACCTCAACAAGATGCTCAAAGTTGTACTGACTGGTTGATTTTCTTTTCCATGATAAATCATATGTTCCCATCATCCAAAATGCTTTTGTGATTGTAATATGATCTTGGTGACCTTTCAGGCTTTGGAAGCAATTGAAAAACTTCAAAAAAATGTTGATACTCTTATAGTAATTCACAATGATCGCCTTCTCGATATTGCTGATGAACAGACACCACTTCAAAATGCTTTTCTTCTTGCTGATGATGTCCTTTGTCAAGGCGTTCAAGGAATATCTGATATAATCACTGTGAGTCCCTTCATTTCTTTCAGATCCACATGAAGTTCTCTTTTGAAGTTCATGGTACACCAGATGATTCATATAACCAAACTAAACTAATTTTGGAATCCATTCTGATTATTTGCAGATACCTGGGCTGGTAAATGTGGATTTTGCTGATGTAAAGGCAATCATGAAAAATTCTGGAACGGCAATGCTTGGAGTTGGGGCTTCTTCCAGTAGGAACCGTGCTGAAGAAGCCGCTGAACAAGCTACTCTGGCTCCTCTAATTGGATCTTCAATTCAATCTGCAACTGGAATTGTATATAACATTACTGGAGGGAAAGATATAACTTTGCAGGAGGTCAATATAGTATCCCAGGTGCACTGAACTTACCTTCTTTTATGTATTTTGTTTTTCCAAACTTTCAAGTTCTTGAAACAAACCATTTATCCTCCATTTACAAGGCAGTATTTGTATAGTGATTTGCTTGGAAAAATACGTACCTCACAGGTTGTCACAAGTTTGGCTGATCCATCTGCCAACATCATATTTGGTGCTGTTGTGGATGAGCGTTTTAATGGAGAGATCCATGTCACTATAATTGCAACTGGTTTCACACAGTCCTTTCAGAATACTCTTCTAAACAACCCTCGAGGAGCAAAGCTGGTTGATAACAGCAAAGGAACCACAGAAAGCACGGTATCACCTGATACTCTAAGCTCATCAAACTCTCCTTCCACGAAACCTCAACCACCTGCTCGGAATCTGTTCTTTTAGCTCCTAAGTTTGTTATCTCTACATTCTTTTTTTTTCTTGCACTCTACTTATTTGTTCCACAAGGGGTCAGATTTGTGTTTGCATGTAGCTGTAGAAATCATGACAAGGTTTTACGAGATGCATACCAAAATTTGGTGTTCTTCTCTTATAACATGCATGTACAGTAGGTTTACTACCTGTAACATTTTGTACCAGTTGATTATTTTCTTTCTGCCAACCCAAGTATTCACCAAACTTGGTAGGAGAAGCTTAATTTGTTGCTTTTGTAACTTTCACCTGAACAACTTGTATCTAGGCCATTACTCATTCGGAAGGGCTCCGTATAGTTTTGGGGTGTAGCATTGTTGTTATTCCTTTTCCTTTCAGCCTAGTGCTTCGGACCTATCTAATGGAGAATTTAACAAGCTATGGAGAAACTATGTTTTCCATTTTCCAACTCACCTAGTATATGTTTCCAGAGAAATTAAACCAAGTAACTTCCACTTATAACTTATATTTTTCTTTTACTTCCCACACTAATCAATGGAGTAACTTTTTTACCTATTACAAATATTTTTATTTCTTCGTTTTGTAAATTATATTGAATTTTTCAACTCATTCCTCTTTGGCCGTTTCGAAGCTCAGAAAAATCTGTCTCAAGTACATATATTCAATCAAGAATTCAAGATCATGGAACATATCAAATCAAACCAAGCAATGCATGAAAACAGAAGCAGAGGGAAGATTTCAAAAGTTCGAATTCTCCCGACTTACACTCAATGTACTAGTTCTTTTGCATTTACAGTTTACCTTTTGTCCAACCCAATTACAGATACTTGATCAACATATATATAAGTGCAACAAGTAGTACAATCCCAATCACTGATAAAAGCATGCACAAGCAAGAGCAACCACACTTTGTGCGTTTGTTCAAAATTCCAACCTTCCTCCCCACTCGCTGTTCACAGTTCAATTATCAGGAAAACCAAGAGGAAACACTAAGTTAAATGTGAACAGAGAATTATCATCAAGAGAGTATTGTAGAAGAAAGAAGATAAATGAAAGAAATGCGTCGTTCTATCAATATCCTGCATAAAAACAGAAAACTGAAAAATCTCAGACATATCACCAAGATTCATAAGTATATAACTGCTCTGTTAACATGCATTGAGACTTCTTACATTCTCCCATCCAGCAAGTACGTACTCTAGCAATCAATGGAGTATAGAAGGCCAAGCAAACTTGAAAGAAATACAAAGATAAACTTTTAGTGCAAGTCCACGAGGTAAGAGCAGCAACAGGAGGACACCAAAAATTTTCCAAGTCAAACTCTTTATTCTCCAAAGAGCCCAGTTCTTTGAACGTTATAAAAGAAATAGATTGTGCGTCGACGTAGTTTATTTCAGAGGGGACAGATATAAGCACCAAAATTCTACAAACGGCAGTATATGTTTATGAGAATCCATGGTGCAGAACACTTTGTTTAGTAAAAATAGTAAGTTTGTCCTTCTTCATCCATGGGTGTACTCCAGGAATTGCCAAATGCCCCTCTTTTCCCATTTTCTTTGGTGAATGTACAGCATTATGGTCTATAGATGAAGATTCAATGAACCGTTTAGAGCATAATCAACCTTCTCAGTCTCATTACCTGATTCCATAATGGTGTATAGCCTGGAACAAGTTTGAAATTGAACGGGTGGTTTCAAGATGGTTATGCTTGAAGTTCAGAGGATGAAAACAGAGGAGTAGACCGTGTGAAGTAGGCTCCTCTATCACCCATTGCACTTAAGGAACGAGAGAAATAGAAGAGAGTTTGAAACAGTGAAAAGCACCCTTATCTACATTAGTGCCACAATCCTATTTCTTTGGTTCATTTTTGGATAACATGTTCGAATATCACATTTTTTCTGTAGGATTATCCACTCTTTAACATATTCTCCCATCATATCAATAAAAAGGATCAATTTTCTTAGAGCATTCAGCACCCATCCCACCCCACCCCCACTTCCCCAAACAAACCAACAACAAAGAATTTTTTTACTAGGGTCATAAGCCACCACATAACTAACAATTATCAATGTCATCAAAAAGGTCCCAATAATTCTGCCTATGTGCAAAACATAGCCTTTCCTGTATAAATAAGACAGGTTTCAGTAGGTTGATGGCTAGAGCAAAGATAGTTAAGTTATGAGGAATGAAGATTGCATTGGCTAGAGCAAATGGTATTGGCTTCTTCACTACTCATTTCCTTCAGAGGAAGATCAAGAATTTAAAGTTTATGAACTCCTACAATGACCTCAAGCTAAAGTACAATAATAATTGGGCTCACAGTCGAAATATTTAGTGGATGTTTCGATCATATGCAGGGTTTGAGCAAAAGCTGGTGTTCCATGAACCCATATACCACTACACTCTTAGTGAAGTTATGAAGTGCAATCCCAGAAAAAAATTAGTACCAACATTAACAACCAACAATATCAGGTTTGCATGAGTTGTTGTAAAAGCAACAAAATTGTCACCTGAAGTCTTGAGTCAGTAACATCAACATGTTCGTCCAGGGTAGCCTGCATTGAGTCAGACAATAAAGGCACGATAAAGTCAACATCCTACTTCAATAGTAGAAAAGCAGTATTTCACAGGGAAAATAAGCTGTAGAGGTAGTTCAATAGGAACCAGCAAAAATTTAACTCATACAATGAGTCTTGTTTGCAAGTCGAGCTCCTCATTAACTGCCAATGCTATATGTTTGAAGCTCATCATAGACTCCTCCAATTTCTCAAGCCCCTCATCTTGTTCTGCATTAATAGTAAAGCCAACAAATAACATATAAAAGAAACAGAAAAGCCAATAGCAGGAGAAGTTTTCAAAGTATATAACAACATGCCTTTCATAATTTGCCTTTGAAGACCAACAACACCATAATTGTCAAGGCCTGTGGTTCTGCTCGTAGCATCTGCTGCCTTTGTTTCTGGTCCAAGCAAGCTGTCCCTATTGGCAAAGTTCGACATATTCAAAGTGGAGGCCATTTCGGTTGCTTTTGATTTTAAATTTGCAAGCATATCCTTGCGACGATTCATCTCTTTCTCTGTCCTGCATAAAGATGAAGGCTTAACAAATCTATACAGAATCACCATACAAAAAGTAATGTTATTAGGCCAATGTGTTCAAAGATATATGCAGACAGACAACTGCTACAAATTCTTGTGACACTTGCCCCTCCCCCACCCTCAAGATATTTATAAGAAAAAGGATACATTTCCCAAAGTATAAAAGTAAAAGTTCTGCAAACTAACACAACTTAGACTCTGGACATTGTCAACAGAGACTAAAGAAGAGAGCTGATTATTTGAAATACTTTCTCTTCTATAATCCTCCATTTGGACAAATCACTAACAATGACTGGTGTTTGCTATCCATTTCCCTCTTACACCCTCCATTTCAAATTGCATGCCTTGTGGCGCTTTACATTTTTAAGGGAAAGGAAGAAAATATTTGACTTAGCATAATTCAGTAGTTGCAGATTGAATATGCAACTATGCATAGTTCATGATAAGTGAGGTCAATTTGTTGTATCAGATCAATTTTTACCCTCTTAATTTAGAATTGTAAGCAAGGAAGCCAGGAAATATTTGATAGCCCAATATATTTTTTTTTCCTGATTGAAAATTGATTGACCAATATTAAAGTGGATTAGGTATGGATCACCCTGGATAAGAAGCCAAAATATGATTTCTAAAGAAAATATGACCAGAAACACATTTCAACTAATATAAGTATTCACCATCATGAAATGAAAATATACTCGGTGCAGGTCAAATACAACTATCCACTACCTATTTAGGAACATATACAAAGTTCTCTAACAGCACGACAAGAGTCATATGAACAGATTGCCAAAGTACAAGCAATTTATCACATTTAAACAACATTAAGCATAAGAAGACTCAGATTAGGAAAACTCACAAATGTTGCTTTACAGGAAGCTTAGAGTCAATAGTCTGTAAGCTATCAAGTCTAAATCCTAATATTGTGATCTTCCTCCTTATTAAAGATGAATGGCGTTGTGCTTCTGGGCCTGTTGCGGGCAACGAATTTCTTTCAGATATCATGTAAATGATGTCATCCGCGAGTTTTCCTGCTTCATTATATTCCTGGATCCAGGAGTCCCCAAAAGTAACCATTCCCTGAAGAAACATCAGAAAGATAAATAGACAAACGATGAATAAGGGAACATCCATGTTAACAATCTCTCCCCCCACCCCCAAACCAAAAAAAGAAGATAGAAAAAGGGAAAGAAAAAAAGCAATTTCTTGCCCCCTCGCAAAATGAAGATAATGTATTGGCAAGAATGTTAGATCATAAAGCAGCTATCTATCTCATTTGACCAATCAAAGACACTGCAACAGAACTGCAAGAAGAATCCATACACGGACCTTCTTTTCATCATTCAATGTGCTTTGCCACTACAAGAAGTGGGAAAGAAAGGTATGGAAAACAGAGGGCAGAGAACCATGTTCTACATCAAACAAAGGAGGGACAGAGGAACCATTACGAAAAGCAGAACCTCGAATTTGCCTTATAATTTTCCAAACCATGTGCACCACCACTGTCATTCACCTTTAGTTAAGAATCTGTAAAGAAACTAGAAGAACATTCAAGACTGGAAGTAGACATCTATTCACCAAACATGTTATCTGAGGTGCTCAACCTTAACTCCTCCAACTCTCCCCAAGGAAACAATCAATAGCGCACCAGAAAGAAGACAAGAGAAAAGAAGATAGAATAACAAGACCAAATTGCCTACATAACCATCGATCAAGAAAGACTCAAGAGCACTTAATTCATATTGAAGAAACAATTGACAAGAACAGACAGAAGATGAAGCAGAAGAAAAAAGTAAATCAGAACTTCCTAATACAACCATTTGCTGAGAAACATTTTTTTTTTGAACTTGGTAACTTTGTATTATATCACGAACCAGTACATGGGTTGTTTTGAAAACTTATATACAAGTGGCCCCAATTCTTACTGCTCTATGGCTAAATTGAGTCTACAAACATCAATTATAGAGACAGTATCATTGTTGAGTACAACTTATTACACCAAACACATAATAGCAAAATGTAGTTGAGCTTCACTTTCTGTACACTATTCTCTATGCTCTCAAAACACCTAGAGTTTTCTCTTTCCACATTGCCCACCATATTGAAGCAGAGAGAAATCTCCATCTGCCTCTATCTTTTGCTAGTACTCCTGCTTCCTCCCAACTCTTTAAAGCCTCAGAAACTTTCCTAGGCATAGTCCAGGAGATGCCTTTGAGACTTTAAAAGATTCTCCATAATTGTTGAGTGAACTTGCAATGTAGAAACAGATGGTTAACAGTCTTTAACGTCTCCCCACAAAGAAAACATCTAGAGCATAAGGCTATCCCTCCCTTCATGACATTTTCTTGAGTAAGAGCTGCTTCTTTGGCCAACAACCTGACAAAGCATGATACCTTATGGGATATTCTGTTTTTCCATACTTGTTTTCATGGCCAATTTGTAATTTGTCGGTTTGTCTGATCCATCAGTTTATAAGATCTATTGGCTTTATAAACTCCTCTATTGTTTCCTGTCCACTATAATATCCTCCCTTGTTTGAAGTCCATTGAAAGGCTCCACTGTGTTGAGAAATTCAGCTACTCTCTAAACCTCCCAGTCATTGAGTTGTCTTCTGAAGTTGAAGTTCTACCCCTGTAGTGTCCATAAATCTGCTTTAAACCCTTGTTGAATTGTAACTAAGTTGTAAACATCAGGAAATAACTCTTCCAAGTTGCCTTTCTCATGCCAGTTATCCTTCCAAAACATGGTCTTTCTCCCATCAAAAAATTTCACCTTTGAGTTGTTCTTCATTTCATCCCACAGCTAATGGACCTCCAAAGGCTGACCTCATAAGGGAAAGTCACCTCTTTGATCATCCATTTGTCTTCTGCTATATATTTATCCCAATCACACATTCCCACATCAGTTGTTTACCATTTGCGTACTTCCAATTTCATTTGAAGAGCTTTACTTTGCAAGTTTAGGTTCTTAATCACCAAACCACCATTCTTCTTTCCAGTTATCACTTTACCAAGTGAAATCCTTTCTTTTCCTTATTACCCTGCCATAGAAATTTCCTTCTAATACTGTCCAGCCTCTTGGTGACCCTTGTTGGGATAGGAAAAGGGAACATCATGTAAGTAGGAAGAGCATCAAGTACTAAATTGATTAGTGTCAATCTTTCACCCGTAGACAAGTTTTGTGTTTTCCACCTGGCTAGTTTT